CAAAGTGAGTTTCCACCACCCTGTGCCAATACATGTTCAATAAAACTATTCTTTGAGCAGCCTACATGACTCAAAAGTTGTTTGCTATGGGCATATTACTTGGAACCCTGACATCGAGTTTGACACTCTAGTGTAAGTCTCCTGCTTAGGCGGGTAATGGTGGTGTTGGACTAAATGATCTACAAGGTCCCTTCTGAGTGTTAATATAAACTGAGTTGCTTAAAACTTTTGCCTCTACCAATCACCAATTCTTCATTCGCACCACTGCAGAAAACCAAAACAGTTGAAGTGCAGAGCATATTTTATCTGTTAAAATGCATCAGTATTGCTTTGGGTATCAATTTAAGATAAGATCTGGTTGAAGTACTGTAAATTTAGAATGATTCTTGACCCTTTAACATAAGATTGTTAGAAGAATCAATTATTATCCTGTTAATAATATTGGTTTTATTTTGAATCAGTAGTCAAAGCACTTCATACATCATTTCAGAAATAAAGGAAAATCCCTATAAGATAGGTTAACAAGATTATTTCTATTCCGCAAATAAGTCTCAGCTACTCTTTGGCACAAATGCAGGGAGAAAATAAGACACTCTTGCTTCAGTATTTGGTAACACAAAAGCTTATTGTTTATTCCTTCCTCTGCAAGGAGTCCGAGATAATAGCTAAGCAAACAAAATAAAGTTGGATCTAACCCAAGTTTCCTGGGATTCGATATTTATAATAATTTCCCCTCATTACCCCTGATTACCCTTATTACCCATGATTACCATTATTAATGATATTTGTATGAACTTAATCACATGAATCGTGGTTAATGCGTAGAGCTTCACCTCACAGCATTTTACATAGACCGCGCATATTATTATGATACAGAGTTTATTCTGATGAAGAGGAATGCCATCCTTCAGGTCGCTGTGGCTTTGATTCAAACGCGTGTTGCGTAGTCACAACAATAAGAAAATTATACACTTTTTGCTTCTAAGTCCATTTGTACAAAATTATTAACTTTATCAATTCTCATTTTTATATTCTAATCTTGATATTTAGAAAAATAAGACTTTCTTTTTTCTTTTTCTTTTTTGTCCCTTGAAAAGTTTGACCACAGTCTTGTTCTTTTCAATTGGCATCCTATAATGAGGGCTTGGCTCATATTAAAGTACATAATTGTACACATTGCTATGAAGAACTCACAGAATTATTGAACACAAAGAGAAAAATCAAGGCCAAAAGAACCCGTCTATGCAACCATTCACCATATTAGTTGTTTGCTTTTAACAATTTGTATGACCTTCTCAGTATTGATTACATTCCTAGTGCACTATTCAGAAGGATGCTCTAACATTTTCAGAAAAATTGCTTGAAAATAGAATTTCTGCATCAAACTGCTCTAACTGATCTATTAGCTCTATCATAAATGTAAACTTTAAATTCATGAAGCAAACAGCACCTCAAGGCGTCAGTTTATAGGCATTTTTTTTATTTACCCCAAGTATTTATGAAATGATGTAAGAGATGATTAATGATATACTTAACCTCAAAGATTTTGTGCATGAATATAAACAGAAAAATATAAAATTGTTTTAATGCTCATCTAGCATCAAACGTATTTAGTATATGTGTGTATATATACACACACACATACATGTGTGCGTAACATTATATTATATGAAAGCATGCAGTTGAAGATCATAAATGCAACTGGAGTTTGTTCATGCATACATAAGGGTATTAGGATACAAATTATTCCATATGAATAGTAGGAGATAACTAACTACTAAAGTGGATATTAGATAATTTCTTAATATAACACCATAACTTAAATTAATATTAAAATAATGTTTTCCACAAATAACATATAGAAAATAAAACAATGTATTGGCATTTTAAAAGACATTTAAGCTCTTTCAGTCCTTACTACCAATATCATGCAACTATAAATATGCAATCTAAATGTTTAATATTTATTGCTGAACACAAGTGGTACAGTGGTCAAGTTGTTGACATAAAAACCATCTAGTTTTCGTTCAGACATAGAAGTTAGGGTGGGTAACTTTGGGCCACTCTCTCCTACCCACTTTACATAATTGTTGTGTAGATTATGTAGGCAGGAATATTATATATTCCCTCAACATGTTACTTGTTGCTGGATAAAAAATATGATAGTAAATAAACTGTCTCTGAATTAAAAAAGATATTACCTAAGATCCTGTCAGCCTTCCCAGGTAAATCAGATGGAAAAATGGTGATATGATCCAATTCTACTTTAGTGTAAAGCTACATTAACAGAATGTTGCAATTCTGAAAGTACAAATATACCACTCAGAGACCCTTCTGTGTCACTTTCCCTGAACATAACATAGCTGTTGGTTATGCAGCCTCTTACCATTCCCTAGGCAGCATTTTTTCATCCTATGTCCTGAGGTCTTTCTCACATACCAATACAGAGATAAGTTAGCTACTCACAATATTTGACAATGCAAAGTGCTGGCTGTATTACTTACAGATGATGCATTCATATGCTATGTCAAGTCCACAACCATGATCAGCAAAACCTAACAGTTGGGCTAATGCAACTTGCTGGGCCAAACTCAAACAAACTTAGTGTAGTGGAATCTGTAAACCTTGTTTACAGTTACTTGAATTAGTCTTTTATTTTCAGCTCAGAGATTTACAGTCTGCTCATGAAATGTGGAAACCCCTAGTAGTGGCATACTTCTATTTTCCCTAAGAGGCAGAATTTCTTTTGGAAATGATGGACTTGTGATAATCCTATCCTGTAGTTATTAGGCTACAGTAACTTGTTTCATAAGTATAATTTGTAATACTGGAACTTCCGGTTTGCAGGGCTTCGGCGGCAGGCAGGAATCCGCGACCGTGCGCGGTTTCTGCCTGGGCTCGCCGCTGGAGCTCCCTGAGCCAGCTGGCTTCGAGGCTAAGCCACCCCGTAGAGGTGGTGAAGACGGGGGAGAGCCAGCAGGGTCGAGGGGAGTCACATCTCTCCTCCTCAGCTGGCCAAATTCCCTTTCCCGAAGGCAGTAAGAGCGGTGGTCAGAGATGGCCGCCTCAAAGAAGCACTCAACCAGAAAAGAAAGTGCAGGAGGAAGTTAAGAAGTGAAAGTTTTGGCTGACCGGGATAAGAAGCAACAACTAAGGTATCCTGGAATTTAAATTTTATAAAAGATACATCGCTCCCAAAGAAGAGTCGGAAGCAGCGAACGAAAGTGAAAAGGGAAAGTTTTTTTTCTTTCACTCTCCTTCCTTACGTTGACAGCGAAGAGAGCTGAATGAGAAATCGGAAAAACCCACTTTGACACCAATAGGTAATTAAACTGGAAATATAATTAAATGCCAAGGGGACAATAAAGATTTCTGAACATTAAAAAAATCCTTTTTTTTTTTGCTATAAGTGGGAAGGGAGAGGAAAAGAATAAGGGCAGGATTTGGAAGGAGGAGTCTGCCTGGAATTCAAAAGAATCTAAAGTTAAACTTTAATAAGACTTCTAAAAGATGCATTTTAACTGGAACTTTGCAACTAAATAGTAACCCCAGGAAGAGAAAGTGAAAAAAGAAGAAAGTGTTAAAAGAAACAGCTTGTGTGTATTTGGACTGCTTGGTGACTTTGGGACTTCTGGAAATTATATTTGAATGACTAAAAACAATTGGGTGGTTGTTTAAAAAAATTCTACAATGGTATCACTTTTGGATGAACTGAAAACGGAATTTAAAAAATATAAAGAAGAGACACAAGAAGGGAAGGGCTCTTTTGGCTCCGTTTTTCAATTCTTAGAAATGGCGATCTGTACCTATGAGAAACTACAAGAAAAGACTGCGCAATAAGAAGATTGGGACAAAGAAGAAGCCATCTTTAATGAACAAGTAACTTTATCTGGGGAAGAAAGGGGAAAGAGAATGGAGAATTTAAGACTTAAAAAAACAGCCAAAAAAAGGGAAAAATAATGTGAAAAGTGGATATAATGTTAGAAAGCAACAGAAAAGGGGAATACAGAAGAGGGAAATGGAGGTGGAGAGACAAGGGGGTAAAAAGGGGAGAGAGGAGAAGAAAGAGAAGAAGGAAGGGAAGTTACAAAGGTTTGGAGCAAGATGTAAAGAAACAGGACTTATTCAGAGATAATGGGTGAAAATTTAACTGAAAAAGGGATTCTGTAAAGGTACATAAGATTATATTGTTATATTTGTATTAGAAATAATGTTAGAAAATTGGAAACAACATATGATTAAAAAGTGGGATAAAATAGTCAGTGTAATTTAGTGAAACTTTTGTGAACAAAATAAATGAAATGAAATAAATGAGAGAATTGAATTAGGAAGGAATGGGACATTTTAACTACTCAATGTTTTAAAATATAAGTGAAGTGGGGGGGAAGTAACTATGGAAAGTTTATAAGTGTTCCCATAGAAATATGATATTTATTTGAAAAGTAATGTGTAAAATGTTCAAGATTTAATTGAATATTAATATTAATGATAGAATTGAATTGGTATGGATTGTTGTTTTAATTATATTATATATTCATAATTTTTTCTTTTTTTAAAATACAGTGTGTAGTTTTAGAATGTACCAAGCAGAATTCGAACGGAAGTTATGTGTTATATTAAGTGTTATAATTTTAGGGGAAAGATATAAAGGCGTCACACTCCAATCAGTGATTACAGGAGAAATTTTGTTTAATGAGAAAAGATAATAGACAGCTGAAACAGGACAGACAAAGAATATAAGTATAATGATCTGAATTGAGATGAAATAAATAAAATAAAATTAAGAAAGTTAAAAGAGGGAAGAAGCTATATAGAAATGTAGAATGGTAATAAGATATGGAATGGTATATAAAAATGTGCATGAACTTGAATTTGTGTCTGTAACCGGGGATCAAGCTGCTTTCAAAAAAGATGTTTTATGTTTTTATGTTTTATGTTTTGTTTGTTTATGTTTGTTTTTAAAAATCAATAAAATTTTCAAAAAAAAAAGTATAATTTGTAATACTTTGTTTTAGTTTGCCCATACATTTGATTTTACTATTGTATTTCACGAAATACAATTCAGTCTTCCCCAATTTCTAAAATTCTCAGCAGTGTTTAGACATTATGGAAGCTGAAATCCAGGACATCTGAAGGAAAACATTTTGGGAAAGCTGATCTATCTCCATTATCTGTTAAGATGAAATCAACAGTAGGGGTTACATAAAGCAAAAGAGAAATTGTAACAACTTATTTTTGCACATGGACTTTTCCTGTTTTTCCTATATACACAAACGGCAAAACTATGAGCATACAACTGCACAGTATTTCTCTAAAATAACAGCCATACACATTTTAATAAATACTTCTGATAGATTCCTTAATTTAGAGTTCAATAGAACCAGACTTAAAACATTTTTCAGTTTATCAGTTCATTCTCATATATATTAGAAATATTTACTTTTCACTTATATCTTCTTAGAAATATTTTATTTAGCCTATTTCATAACCCCTCCTTTCTGCTCAAGGCACTTGAGGCAATGTGCAACTGAATTTTCTGTATTTATTATAAATATTTTATATTTAAAATGTGCATATTTCATGCTAAATATTATTAGTGACAAACCCTAGTTTTTAATTGTTAAAAAATCTGTACTTTGAAACATGAATAACTAAAAATATTATTTTTTCATGCTACTAGAAGTTGACCAACAAATGCAGGATTTCGTTCTCTTATTAATACAGTAATAAGTGCAGCAGCTGAATCCATGGTCTCTTGAAGCTTTACAATCTCCTGAAAGAAAAAGAAAAGTTATTCAGGAATGAGATACATTTCTAGAGTTTAAATAATAGAAATTCCTGCACAACAGCAATGTTTGAAATCCAAATTCTGTTCTCAACCTGATTACATTTTTTTCTAATTATTCTAACTAAATTTTCTCATTTATAGAGAATAAGCTTATATACAATAATCAGATATATCTGAATAGGAAGCATACAATAAATAATTTGTTCTCGACACGTTAAATATTTCACAGAATCATCCACCAGCTGCTATTTCTGCAGTTATTGCTGACATTTTACATTCAAGCTTGTAGATATGAAATATTTACCAAAACTTAAACAAGGAAGGAAGGATCTAGTAATTACAATCTCTCTTTCTATGTTCAATAATTGGATGTTATTGAACTGTACACCAATTATTGATGTTAATATTAATCAAACTATTAATACAGTTCAGGAATGTTTAATTAAACATACAGTTCAGGGATTCATTAAACATTCCTGAACTGTATTAATAGTTATTATTTAAATTAATGTTTTCTTATATGTATATACCAAATACCATAATATCTATTATAAACTGCAAATGAAATCTGAAAAAAGAATTGGAGTCCTGCCAATACCATTAGTCTAGAGTCATATTACAAAGTTTGAATCTGCAAAAATTACTATCCATCCATCCATCCATCCATCCACATGGTACCTTGCACACATACCCATAGTATTCCTGACCCAGACATCCCCTTACTTCCTCACCCTGCCAACAGCAGCCATTTATTTATCTGCTGGTCTTAGATTTGCACTACTGTTCGCTTTCTGACTTTCTCCCTGATTTTTGGGAAGCCAGCAGGAATTTGAGAAGGGAGGGAGAGAGGGAAGGCAGGAAGGGAGGGAGGGAGGAGGCTTTCTGATGCTTTCTGGCAGCTTCCCACAAGGAATATCAATGGGAAATAGCAGATAGCTATTTTTTTTGCCCAACTTGGTCATTTTATTTCTCTGTTTAGGTAATTAAACATCTCTGAAATGATGACCCAATGGCCTATGGGTTATTTAGTGATATATAGGAACTAAATATTGTTTTAAAGTCATATCATTTTCACTATCCATTGTTATATTTAGATCTCACTGGGAAATATACTGGTGGTTTTCTATTAAAATGTGGCAAAATATATTCAAATACATCTAATATTTCTCATGTACATGCCCACAATAATTCTCTCCAAGCTGAATATATGTAAACTTCACAATTTAAATATAAACTTCTGTTATCAGAACATTCATTCATCTGTCTTTAGGAACAATATCAATTCTAAGTAGAAACATACATTGATTAAATGAAGTCATCTTACTACAATTACTAATCCATCCAACTAAATTACAGATATGTTAGTTGGTTCAGATTAATTTTCAAAAGCAGAACAGCAGGATTTGTTTTGTTAAATCACAAAATAATAATTATAATTAAGGGATCTTTAAATTTTTATTATATTTATGAAATCCAGCTATTGCTCTTTGTAGATTTGAGGAAACCAAAGAAGAAATATCAAATAAATTTACAACTTTAACCAAAGTGATTTTAGTGGTTGAATATGGCATCTGAAGTTTATATTAATGCATTTTAAAATTCAGTAGGAAGACAAAATTTATTTGGATTTAATTTAACAATAATTAAAATAGAGCTACAGGAATCCCTGGAACTTAAATTATACTACTAACTTAAGTTACATTTATTTCAAAAGATTCATTCTAATTATGATTAAACTAATTTAATTTTTTAATAACTATCCAGATAAAAATATTTATGATATAAGCAATATTTAAAGTTATAAGCAATCCAAGTAGTAAATTGCTACAGATGATAAATTATGCTCATATCCCTGAAAGTAAAACTTATTAAATCAAGGTAACATATATGATTGCACGAAAATGCAATTTATTTCCATCTGCATCAGATACTGAAATATATGGAACAATGTAAGCAGTACATTTCTATGCCATAGGCTATAATCCTCTGCTTGCTTGGTAAAAAATGTGCATGGAAGTATTATTTCAAGAAGAATCTTTGTACAATTTAAAGACTGAAATACTAAATAACTGTTAATATTTTTGAAAGAAATAAAAAAAATATAAAAAAAAAAAATTCTGTTGTTTTATCCATTAATTTCTTTGCTCTGCTCATGATTAATTGTTTTAATTGTGATGAAAAAATTAATAAAGAATTTTCAAAATTGCTTTGTGCAGGAGTGTTGGTTTATATTAAGATTTCACCATTAAAATTAACCAAGCTTCAAGATTTAGCTAAAAAGAATAACTTGTCTTACAAATTAAAACAGAAAACTGATATACGGTTCCATAATTTTTCTTCCACCAAATATAAGTTCTGTTAAAAAGTAATGCCAGGAGAATTTCATAAAAAATATATAAATATTGTTAATATATCACAGAATTATAAATGGCTTCTCACACCATTTCCACTGCATATTTGCTGTTACCAGAATCTTAAGATGACTTTTACAGATTTTTAACTGGGAATTCTGAATAACAGAATAAGAGTTAGAAGAGACCTTGGAGTCTTCTAGTCCTACACTGTCTAGCAGAATACCTGCACCATTTCAGACAAATGGCTGTCCAGTCTCTTTTAGTTGTTCTTGATATATTTGGCAGGCACCAAATGCATCATATATTTGGGAAAGATGGCCATAACACATATAATACATATTCTTCTTTTCACAGAATACTATATTAGCTTTAATTTGCATTGCATATTACATCATTGCATCTGCTTCTATCTATATATAGATATGTATGTATTAATAGACATATTCTATTTGGGATAAAGGAAATAAAGGCTCTTTTTGTACATAGGCATAAGCAGTCATAAAAATAGAGATAATGCGTGCAGCCATAGTCTTGCCCACTGAGGAAATTAATGGAATTCATTGGGATTTATTTATTGGGAAGGTTGCTTAGAATTTATATGAACTTCAAACTTCTAGAGGGAATTTGTCATTTCTGGAAAAGCAGTATATATATTTAAATATATTTTACTATATTCTTGTTCACTGAAAAATGCTTTGAACATCTGCATTGTCAGGATGCATGCATGAGCAGGTAAATGAATGTCTTATGTCAATATAAAGTGTTAGAACTTGGGCAATAAATTTATAATTATGAATTAGGATAAAATGAAGATCTATTACCTGTTACTGTAATTATATTAATAAAATAACTGTTGACTGATGAAGACATGTGAAATTTATGCTTGAGGGTTTATAAAGGAAAACTTACTGACGGTCAAAATATTTGAGCAATTGCATTTTGGTTGAGATTTTTACCAGAAAGATAGTAATTTTTTCCAAATTCCACTTATATAACTTTTGTTACTTTTGTGCATAACTCAGCAATGCACTGTCATCTGACTTATTGACTTACTTGCTCACAATTATATTTTATGAAAGCTAGCTATGAAGTAGTATGCATTTTATACAATTCAATGCAGGTAAACCATTTTTTTATTAAGTTAAATCAAAGTAATTACTGTGATACTTTATTTTTCTATAACTACAAATCACAGACAGACCTATAAACTATATAGGTTTATTTTTCAAAAGATTGATGGTTTCTGACATACCATACCAATCACTTCTATTCTACATGTACACTATACTTGTGAAAATTTGATTAACAAAAGGATTATTGTTTTTGAACGATTCCAGGCTATTTTATGCTTAGAGTAATCCTCCTTCTAATTGCAACATGGGATAATAAGTTTGTATATCACAGGTTTGGTTGTGAGATGGTACCAGATTGGATTTTTTCTTATGAAAACTATACAAAATAAAACATTTAATACCCTCAAAATTGTTGGAACTCTATTTTCTTATTAAACTTATATACAGCATTCTAACTTATTTACTATATATTATTCTATAGTGTGTGTGTGTGTGTGTGTGTGTGTGTGTGTGTGTGTGTGTATGGTATTCAGCTTTGTTCGGGTATTTTTCCATATCATTATAGTTGTGCTTTTAAAGTTGTAGCAACGTTTCAGCAGAATCTCATCTGCCATCATCAGGCTTCTGTATTGTGTTCGTTTGTGAGTCAGACTTTCACAGCCGTTTCTGTTTTAAATTTGGGGCTAGCCTACTGCTGTGCCAGAATGGTTTTTTCTTCATCCTGATTGGCTGGGAGTCTTGGTCTGTGTTTATTGGTCTTGGAGTTTGCTGTGTTCTGCTTGATTGGTGTTTCTAATATCTTCTGTCTGTTTTGTGGCTTTTTTTGTCTTGATTGGCTGGCAACATTGTGTTTCCTGTATTGGAAGCTTTTAGTGCGGCTTGGCTCCGAGTAAATGGACGGCTATCATTTAAAAACTGAGCTTCCTCATAAATGATAGCCGTCCGTTTACTCGGAGCCAAGCCTCACTAAAAGCTTCCAATACAGGAAACACAACGTTGCCAGCCAATCAAGACAAAAAAAAAAGCTACAAAACAGACAGAAGATATTAGAAATACCAATCAAGCAGAACAATATATACTATACTATACTATACTATACTATACTATACTATACTATACTATGTATGTATGTTTTTTTAAGTTTTCCCGGGTATTTACAATACAGAAGCCTGATGATGGCAGATGAGATTCTGCTGAAACGTTGCTACAACTTTAAAAACACAACTACAATGGCGTGGGAAAATACCCGAACAAAGCTGAATACCATACATACATACATACATACATATACACACACAGAGAGAGAAAGACTCACACACGTATCTGAAGTTTGGAACTCCTTTTGTACAAGTCTATACTTTATAGAAATCACTGTCTATAGTTCCACAAACTCCACATATTTATGTTTTGTTGTTTTTACTCTGCCTTTAATGTCTTAATGTACCATTGTCCAAAAGTTACTTGTATGGCCAGACTTGGTTGTGAATTGAAGTCACTCACTTTTTGCTACAGGTCATTTCTCAAGTAAGGCAGGTTCTTGGGATCTTCTGTGGATACATATAGGCCTTTCCTATCAAAACTCAGGGCTTTGGAACTGAAGGATTAGTCTCTCTGGGCTCTAACAAATTGCTAGCCTCCTAACTCTCCTGCCACACTCCCTGCAATTGATTTCCTTTTACATAACTGAAAATATTGCGGTAGCTAATATGACTCCTACCGAAGCCAAGTTTTCTGTTCACCTGGCTTTCCAAAGTCTCTACTTGCTAAATTTTTTCACCATCCCATATCAGACTTTCACCTCCTGCTTCTAATTCTCCATTACCTGCTTCTGTCCTATAATATCTCTAGGATGGGGTGTCAAACTCACAGCCTGCAGGCTGGATGTGTCGCGTGCTGTCCCCGCCCGGTTTAGCAAAGGGGAAAAAGGCTTGATACATCACGTGACGCCACCATGACAACATAAGTTTGACACCCCTGCTCTAGGACTTCAGTATTTCTTTTTCTTTTTTCCCTTTTTAATTTCTGTGAATGGCTACTTGGCACCTCAACCACAGGCAGAAAAGCTGAAGCTCCAAGCGGGTAGGAAGTACATTCGCACAATATGCCTATGGCACCTGCTCTCCCCCCCGCCCCCGCCCCCACACGTACTCCCTAACATCAACTCAGAGCTCTCTTCTGTCAGATTGCTTGCCAGGAACTTCAACCTATTCACACACTGCCTTTATGCAATGCCCATCTAATGACCCTCTTGGACTTGGGTTTATAATGGTAACCACTACCAGAATTGTTGTTGCTAAGTGATGCCTTGCTTTACAATCTCATTGTTTAGTAATGGAAATTTCACTCCCAATTGCTGTCATAACCTGAGGACTACCTGACAGATTTTCCTCCCACTCATTATAGCACGTACCTTTTTATATTGTATAAGGAGACCATAAAGTAAAATATTTTTCTTTTTAACTTCCTTTGCAAGTACAGTTAAACTTTCAATTCCACTGTTAAAAGATGTATTTTCTAAAGTACCCATGTTTACCTGTAGGGAAGGACATGTACAAATTATTAATTATCAGAAATGCTTATATTTTCTATAGATACAAGGAGAAAGATTATTGATTGCTATTTAACAGTTGATGAAATATTTTTCTCTGAAATCTTATATACATGTATATTTTGCTTGCAGTTTTTAGCATGCTAATCAGAGAAAAAATACAACAGATTAGTCTATTTCTGAACAACATGCATGACTGAATTCCATATCTTATCAGTTCTTTAAAATTTTGTCCATCTGCATTTTAAACCATTGTTTTTTGTATGGAATAAGAAATCAAAGAAAATACACAACAAAATTAAAAAAAACTTCTAAAAGAGCAATAAATTAAAAAACCAAAATAACTAGTTTAATAATTTTGGCTTCCTTTTACAAAATCTCTTACTTGTTACCAAAGTCACAACAATTCTGAAAAATAAAGTATTAATGTATTACACCAAACAGATCAAATATTTTATAAGCTGAAGAAAGAAATATCTTTACCTACCAAAATGAGAACAACAGGGTACAAAACCAAAGCACCTGTGTTTTCAAGTGTATCCACCAGCAGTGAGATTTCCTCAAAGCCAGGTACTTTATTCTAATGAAAAAGGAAATAAAATTCATTTGAGAAATGTGAGATATATGATGTTCCTTTTCTTTTAGAAATATGTGAATTTGCCATATGCTGAATCTGGTCATGTATATACAGTATTTGCCTACATTGAATTTAAAGTACTATTAAGATTTATATTTCTCTTTTTCTAAGCAGTTATTCTTTTCTAGTCCTCCATATATAACTACATTATAAATTATTATCCTGTTTATAAATAATTATGCATTTGTTTTCCTATTCTCTGTGCCATTCAGAGCCACAGAATCAGAACAGCTGGAAAGAAATATAAAATGAAACCCCCTTCTTAAGTTCATTTGTGCAGTCAAAAAAAATAAAACATTCATATTAGAGTCAGGGTCTGAATGAAATGTCTTCAACATCATAAACACACTATCTACACCAGATATAAGAGTTTTTTATGAACTTTCTGAATTTGTTCAGAAAGTTATTTTAAAGACTTCAAATAATTTGGATCATAACAAATTTGTCCAAGTAAGCGAAGTGCAAACTTATGTTTAAAAAAAGCTAAAATTGCTAATGAATTTGATGTCTTCCCATAAGTGGTGAATTACTTACATCCTCTGAATTTGAAAGCATATATATTTTGAAATTTTTTTATCTAGCTGCGACCTTTGGGCAAAACATTCTGAATTCAAAATACATATTTCTAGTGCACAATGGCAGCAAAAACCATTTTTCCGGAAACTTTGAAAGTGTTTCAAGCTCATAATAGCCTTTTTCAAGTTTGAAAAAAATTCAGCTCAAAATATTTCTAAAATGATAAAATAATTGATTTTACTCTAAAATGCATTACATACAATTTAAGCTATTTTTCCACATTTCTATGAATGTGACAATTTGGTTAATGTATAATACAAATTTAGAAGAAACATTTAAATAATACTATATGGCTAAAATATTGTTTTTAAAATTACATAAGTGGTCTTTCACCATAAACTATTTACTTTCTGTAATACTTACTTTTATGCAAATAAAGTTGTAGCACTGTCCTAACAAAATATTTTGTAGATTGACATTTTTATGAAGGGTGATTGCTACATTTTTAACATGCTGAAAAGAGAAATAGAAATTGTTTAATAAATTCATTAAAAACTTATTGGTAATGAATTGCTAAAACTGCATGTCTCAAATTACATACAAAATGTTTATTGAAGTATCCAGGATATTACTTGCATGATTTATAGGTGTTCTTCAAAGGAGAAAGAAAAATAAAGTATCACACTGCAGAAGAGAAAAGGCATTTTGCAGATTGTTTTCTGACCAACATTTATTTCTTTATTTAACAAATTTATATAACTACCCAAAAGGAACGTAAGAAATTTTACAGAAAACCTGTGATATTTTAACTATGATAAAACCTAATAGAGGAGATGATATATTAAACATGTTGAACCCAAATAATTATTGACCAACAGCAACTTTTATGTATTGTCTTTACATGTTGCTGAAAATACTCACTTTCACATGATTCCTCATTTTTTCATTAAGGAGAAATCCCACTTGGACAGCATCTTCCTTTATGTCAGTAATAATGCAAACTTCCTGTGATATAGAGTCTGGCAAAGACAATTTTAAAAAAAGAACAAAAAGAAGGTGGAAATTAATTTTCTTAACATTACCTCATTTCCAGAATCCTTTAGTCTCCCTATATATAATCACTATATATAGAAAACAGAATGTTGTTTATGACAACCATTAATATTAATGATGTTTCCAGGCTTAAGTTCTTGGCTAATCTTCTGAATGTTTATAAGGGGAATATATTATGTATTGTTCATGATGAATTGTACAAAACAGTTCCAGGAGTCAAAATAATATCTTTTGTGGACATGACTGTTTTGAATTTCATTCATAAAACTGGTTGTTATTCCTGGATATTCAAGACAGCTCTGTATTTTACTGAGTTCAATTGGTTATTCACTTCCACATTAGATTCTATAAGATACTTTATATTGGACTTTTTAAAAAACCTGTTCTTTATAGAATATACATGAGTTAAAAGGATACAATAAGATTTTTCTTTTGTGTGCTTATAATTGTAGATTAAAAAACAAAAGAGATTCAGTTGCTTTATTTAACACACGTTATACTTATTCAACCAATTCAACTACAATTTGTTTTTAAGTTTCTGTACCCAGAAATTCTACTGGCTATCTAATGATTATCCTAATTAAGGTATATGTAAAGAATAACTACTAATAAAAAGTCTTGCAACCACCCAAGGGTTTTAGCATCAAATAAATGTATGAATCTTCCTTTATTAGGCACTTTATTAATGAAGGTTATCTGGACCTCTGGATAATCTTCTTCTAAATTATTGAGTTAAAACACAGTAACTGGGATTAGGGAACAGATTATAGAACAATTACAGATAACATGAATGTAAAAGGAGCATTTTTATTTAAGCATCATCATTTTACTACATAGAAAAATGCTGACGAGGTGACAAGTCCAAGCAGGACATACAAAGTTATGAGGTGCCTACAGGCAATTCCCCTGTGAACATAATGACTTAGTGCTTGATTTTAAAAAAGGTAAGCTGAAACTGGAATTCAGGAGGTCATGTCATCATAAGAATTTGATCAGAGTTCCAAAAATATTAATTCTTCACCTAATTTTAAATATACATTTTAGGGACTACCTTAAAGGCAGACTCAAATCTTCAAGCTTACATGTTTCAACTAGAGGTTCAAAGATATAGTTACCCTGAGGCAAGAAATCCTTAAAGAGATTCTTTCAGGATGTTTTTATGCTATCCAGGTTCCAACTACTTTTATAAATGAGTCATCCTAACTTCAGGATGAGGTTTCCCTATTTGCAGACTAATAATATGAGAAGAAAAAGGAGAGACATGCACCACATTGTCTGCACATCCAGCAAGTTGTTACCTGCTTTATTTTAAGTGCATTAAGATTTATTTTTATTAAATCAGTATTCTATTATTTTCCGATCTACTTTCTAAAAGAAATACAAAAACTAAAAAATGCGTAATTATTTTGTGTGTGTGTGGAATTCTTGGTGTTCTCTGAACTTAGTTGTTTGCTTGCAGATATTTCATTACCCAACTCCCCAAATCATCATATATAAAACTGTTTGTTTTTCTTACCTACATCAGTGTTCAGTTTAATAGAATGGAATGTATTCTTTATCAACAGTTTATTCTGCCTACAGGAAAAAAACTTCAATTTTTCCTGAAGTGTTTGAAACTTATTAACTATATTTGCATAGATAGGATTACATTTGCAATTCAAAGTATCAAATAGAGCTCAAATAATTAAAAATAAGTGATATATTAAATTTGTTCTAAATTATTTTAGGCCATATATCTCCAGTTGACTTAAAATTACTTTAAAGATCAACAGGATAAATTATAAACTATTATGCAAAATGCCTGTAAAAGTATCTATGCAAGCTTTCTATTCAGTATTTAGTTGTAATATTAATTTAACAAATATATATGTCATCCATATATCACTAAAATTCTTAGGCAACAATAAAAACACACAAACAAACCCATTTCAAATAAGCAAACAACCGCTCCCCAAAACCACTTGATCCATCCATCCATCCATCCATCCATGCATCCATCCATCCCATTATGCCATTTATGGCTCATTTATAATTAAGACAAATGAATGCTAAAGCAAATATCTACATAATCCCACTTTTTTTTGTTACGTTCCACCTGAAGTTTCAAAATAAATTGCAAAAGGATTATTTTCCATAGCTATTACAAGAGGCAATTATTTTTGCTTATGCAAAAGCATTAGATACATATTCTCTTTTTAATTTGTCTACGATGTAAAACATTAATAATATCATGACATATGTGAGATTCATCTATTATCAATGAATATTCGGCTTGGATCCAAATTTAAGATGATTCAATCAATAGACTTGTTTGGTGACTAAAAATTTCATTAAGTTGAATGATGACCCTAACGACCCTAATTCTCTGGCAAATTCTTGATGAATGTATCTTTTCTTTTATGTATAATGAAAGTATTTGGACCAAGACAAATTCCTTGTGTGTCCAGCCACACTTGGCCAATAAAGAATTCTATTCTATTCTAAATTCAAATCTGGGTAATTTGATCCCAGAAATACAAAGCATTTATCTCATTGACTACTCTTAAAGGAAACTAATTATGTATCTTTCAACCATTTTCATATGAATAATCTGTTTTTCAACAATATGGTTAATATATAGTTATATACACATAATATAGAACTATATATAATATATAGTTCAAATTAATGTAGAATTAACTTGAAATTGTAGAATATGTGATGAAAATATCTGGTTGATTCAGTTTTTAAATTATTTTAAAATATTTAAATTTTTAACATTTAATTATTATTTTAGAGCTATTTCAGATGGTACATGGTCAGAAATCTGAAGCCAGCATAATTGTTTCATTAATTTTTGGAATTTATACATAACAATTTCTCATAAATAACTCAGTGCTTTCTGCATAATTTGTAGTTGCTTTGTATGGGAAGAACTTAATCTACCAGCAATGAATACTTTATTTATTTGTTTACTACATTTCTGAAATTAACATCAAACTTGATATTAACTGGTGATTGCCATTAAATAGTTCACAGGGAAACATTCACAGAGAAATATAAAAATTCAGTATGAAGACCCAAAGTGCCATCTGACTGTATAGGTAGTCCTCATCTTAAAACCACTGAAGTCTCAGTGACATTGAAAATAGTGGCTAATTATTGTTTTTCAACATTATGACCATTGCAGCATTCTCCTGGTCACGTGATCAATCTTTGCAACTGACTCATATTTATGATAGTTGCAGTGTTCCAGGATCATATAATAATTTTTTGCGAACTTCTGATATGATTGCAAAGTCAACAGGGAAAGTGCTAACTTACAACTGTGTTATTAACTTAACAACTGCAGTAATTCATTTAACAACTGTGGCAAGAAAGGTTGTAAAATAGGGCAAAACTCACTTAACTCTCACTTAGCAACATAAATTTTGGGCTTAATTATGGCTACAAATCAAGGACTACTTGTATGCAAATACATATAAATTAAATGGAAATTTTAAAAAAACCATAAACACAAGATAACTGGTAGACCATTTTCCCAGGAATGTTCACTGGGAGAAAAAAATAATAATCATTGTTTTTAGAATAGTTTATTTATATAAACTAGATAAATCAAATCCATGTTTTTAGTCTTGGCATTTTGGGTTATAAGGCTGAGCTTGCATATTTAATCATGGGCACAACAAATTTTTATTATAATAAATTCAAAGTTGTTTTACAATATATGTTCATATGTCTTATTACAAATTTTTTCATTTTATTTCCAAAGTTAAAATACAAAATAAAGAAAAAGAAACGAACTAACATTGAAAATTAATTTTAAAAGATAACAAAAAATAACAAATAATGAATATATCATTCACATTGACATTAAACATAAATGTCCACCCTGGTTGAATGCTGAAAAATATATCAAATATATATTATGTATTCTCCTTCCCTTAATGTAACAGGTCTACAAGTAATTATAAACTTTCCCATCTATATTTTAAAAATATATAAAAAAATACTATGTTACATAAAAAGACGTCCCTGATGTGAAAATATATTTATCTATCAATCAAATCAATCCAGCATCTGTTCACTATATTTAAAAAAAATCAATTAACAGGTAACCCAAAAGTAAAAATAATTTTCAAAGCCCTCTGTTAAATACAAACCATGTTATTATATTTAATATGCAGAAAATCCACAAATGGCTGCCAGTCTAAATTATGTAATCCATTGTTTCTAATCAATGCAGTTAATTTCTCCATCTCTGCCAGATGAGTCAAATTTATTCATGTATCTGAATAAATACAATATGACTTATGATTAATGAATTAGATAATTTGACAACAGTGGTTGTAAAATAAAATATCTGATGTTCACCAGGTTATCCTAATGCAGAAACAAGGAAGATATATCCTTTCAAATGTTGCTAAACCACTAACTCCATAGCCAATGGTACTCTTGTGACTTATGCTAGGAGTTATGATTCAACACTATTTGAAGGGTCAAAGTTGCTTACTTTTGTTCTGTTCAAATGAAAGACAACCATATTGTATTTTTAATAAACACTCCCAAGTATATACTAGCTTATTTCTATAAGAAATTGCAAAAAATAACTGGTTATACCAACTGCCTTTATCTTTCTCTAACTTGGTCTTCTATTGAAATGATAAATAAACTAATAATACAGAAATGATGAAAAGAAAATCCTACAATTCTGTCTTGTTAAAAACCCAAAAGGATACCACTCCATAGGATAGCAATATATTTGCTATTTGGGATATAAATAATTATAATAGCATTTCTGCTCTTCACAAAGGCAGCACATATACATATCACTCATCTGTTATTCATACTCACTGACCATTTTCCACTAATGTAACATATTAAGCAGAATTTACATTCTACAACAACTCTCAGTGACTAATATATTTTCAGACTTACCAAATATAATTATAGAAATATTTTATTCTAACTGCTGTCCTTTTTATATGAAAGAATTTGCCCCCTTATTTGTCTGAGATAGAAGGAACTACAAGGTTACCAAAAAGAATTGGAGATTGTGTCCAGGGCCTAGAAGATAATATGAAAATTGTAGGAACAAGGAAAAACACATACCTTTGATTAAACAATCAGCTGCAAAAAGATCCCATTTGTATGTTACCTAAAAATATAGAGCAATCAATATATTAATCTATAATTGCAAACAGAACAGTGTCCAAAAAGAGCTATTTATATGTAAGTACCTCCAAGAATTTCTTAATCTTATTTTTCTAAAAGATTTAAGATAAATTTTGCAGCATTTAAAATCTATTGAGCATTAATTTTTGACACTTTACAAATATCTTGCAAAGTATGTATTTCATTTAATTATATTATTTATTACAATTTGTAATTAATAAAGTAATTAAAATTCATTCAGTAACAGATACCGTATATACTCGAGTATAAGCCGAGTTTTTCAGCCCATTTTTTGTGCTGAAAAAATCCCCCTCGGCTTATACTCGAGTCAGATTCCCCTCTGAAAAAAAAATGGTGTGGAGCTCCGGAGCTGGGCAGGCGCTTCCCTGCTTCCGTGTTTCCTTTGCAACTTTTAAGCATGGGGGTAATCGGAAGCAGAAAAGTTCTTGCATGAGGATATATTTTTTCTTTTTTTAACTGTTTTTAGGGGGGGGGAAAGACCCACCGTCATGTGAGAATGCTCAGACACGAAATCTATCCCCCCGAAAATAAGTGTGTGTGGGGGGGGGGGATTTT